ACCAACCGCCAACGATTATCCTCACCTGTGCTTGATGCAGCGAGACAGCCAGCCAATGTGCCACAGCAAAGCCAGAAAAAGGAAGCGCAATCACACGCCACGGCCACCATCGTTACCGCTGATGGAGCAGAAAGGGGAGATAATGGGGGAAGAGTGGTGGGCACGGGCCGTGTCCTTCCTTGTCTTCATCGTTGCAGCCCCAAACACGGTGCACAGCGCACACGCACACGCACGGCCATCATCACAGCAGCACACCAGCAGCAGCAGCAGCAGCATCATGCGTGCCTGTGAGGCAAGGAGAAACCAACCAGAGACGAACAACAATGACCGGTGATGGTGAGGACATGAAAGGAGGGACACAAGGGACCACGCATGGGAATATGCAGCATGATGTGGGCGGGTGCATCACCTATACACAAGAACAACGAAGCAAGCACCCAAGCAAGCAAGCAGGCAGGCACAAAATATCACCACCATCACAACATCCACATCCACTACAGCTGCAATACCTGCTGTTGGCCGCTGTCTCAATCACGCCTCAACAGCTCCACATCACATGGGAAAGGCTGATGATGATGATGACACCGAGCAAAGACGATTAGTTGGGAAAAGAAGAAGGGAATTCGGCTGGGGAAACCCACACACGTCCGTCTGCAGCCACGCACACACGCGCACACATTGAGTTGTGTGATTGGTTCATGTGAGGCACACGTCAGTGCAACCACCCCACAGCCAATGTCTGCTCTGGTGTGTTGGCATGCATGTGTACATGCGTGTACGTGCGTGTGAATGAGTACTACCACCCCATCACCACACACACACACACACACACACACACACACACACACAGCCCCAACATCTCACCTTGTGCCTTCTTTTCTTGCACATTTGTGTGTGCATTTATCGCCCTGCTCGTGTCATGGGGGCCTGGGAAGAGATCGGTCACCGTCCTGAGCAAATCACACACATGTACACATGCGCAAGCACAAACTACAAAATCAGCAAGAATGACACCACGCAGTGAGCCAGCATGGCAGAAACAACCCACATCAACCCCCTTGTGCCTCATTCACATCACCGACATCATCACCTGTGCACGCACATGTCACACCCCACACACAGATACGCACCACCACCACCACCACAAGCAGCACATCTGCATATTCGTGTGCGTGCGCCGTCTACATCCACCACAAATCACTCACCGCCACCAGCAGCGTCGTCATGCAAGGCAACGGCAAATCGACGCACAATACACCCTGAACGTGTGCGTGTGGAGAAAGAGGTGAGTTGTCACAGAATCAGGCTGTCAACGACAACAACACCCATTGCCAGCACCAACAGACCCAACGACATCCAACCAACCCTTCACAAACACACACATACGACATGCTGATGTTCACACCCAACACATCACACACCACCCACATCACCACAACCACCGCCATTCATCTCACCTCCACATCCACGGCCGCACCCGCTGTTGTTGGTGACAAATGATGACGACGACGAGGTGGTGGAGATGGCCCAGAGGCAGAGGGCCCGTTCATCCAAATGCAGCCAGCCATCAGCTGTTGCTGCTGGTGTTGTTGATGGTGGAAACGGTGACGGTGAAAACAAACGGCCCCTTGCCACGCCGTGTCCTTTGCTCGCTCACTCAGCTGCTTGGTTGGTCGGTTGGATGGAGACGAGATACATGGCCCTGTGTCCAAATCAATCGAAAAACAGGAGAGAAGAAGAAGAAGAGACACATGAGCGGACAGAACAGACAAGGAAAGAGGGAGGCGAAGAAGGGAACACAGCGTGTCAACCAACACACACACACACACATCTAAGTCGCCCTTCTCACCTCCAGCAATCGTCATCGTCATCGTCGTTAGTTCCACAGCTTCATGCGCCTCCTCAACGCTGTGAATTGTGTGTGCACGGACACAAGAAGGGAGAGAATACAGGGGTTGAGGTTGACAGCGAAGCATCATCAACCACACGCCAGCCTCATCCAACCACCCGCATTGACACAACCTCACGCGCACACATGTTGTCCCCACTCACCACCACCACGCACACACACACACACGCACATTGCTCACCTCTTCATCAGAGCGACTGACATGTGCAATGTCTGCCTCACGCCAGATTGGGGCCGTTGTCGGCCGGCGTGTGATGGCGGCTGTGCAGTCGATGGCGATGGTGACGGTGATGGCGGTGACAGCGGAGCTGAGGTGGAAGAGAAAGAAAGGAGCGAGAAATGGGGAAGGTTGATGATGATGGGTCGTTCATGGCGGATTCCTTCCCCTCTTGTGATGTGGCCCTGGTGCCCATGCAACCAACACGCAACGACAAGACACAACGATACCATCACCCACAAGGCACAGACATGGCATGTGAGCACATCAGGCGTATTCAGCTTCTTGCTCCTCCCTGCTCTCCTCCTCCTCGCCCCACCACACACACACACACACACACACACACACACACACACACACACACACACACACACACACACACACACACACACAAACACACACACCTGCGCATAGCTGCGTCGCTGTGGTTGGATGTGCCCACCATGACCATGGACGTGTGTGTCCACAGCTGCTCCTCCCAACCCATCATGTGTGCACCCGCCCATCATCCTCCAACGATCCTCACACAGTCATCCCCTGCATACACACATGCACACATTGCATGTGAGTTGCACAGCTACACTGCTGCACCAGGCACAGCAGCAGCAACAACAACACATGCACCATACGCCAACCAAAGCATGCATGATGGGCTCACCTTGCTCGCATATGGGAACCCTGCATGAGCACAGCAGCGACAGCCGAATCAGGGGAAGTTGCAGCAGCAGCAGTCGGCATGCGAGCCCACTTCCATCAACATTGTGATGTGTGCTGGCACCTCACCACCTGTGTGTGTGCGTGGTTGCAGGGAATGTGAATGGGAATAGAACACAACAGGCACAGAGAAAGCCATGATGTCAGCACAGCAGAACGAGTGATTGACATGACACGCACCACGTGTGCGTGTGTGTGTGCGTGTGTGATCATCATCCCCCATCAACCCTCTTCCTTGTTCATTTCATCGCACCCCATCACCATCACAGCCCCATCACACAACCAACAACCACTCATCACCACGCACATACCATGTGTGAGGCGAGTGCAGCTGGCACGCGTGGCAAGTAGCCTCGACATTCCCTCATCCTGTTGCCTGTGCGTGTGCATCGCCTGCAAGTGTGTTTGTGTGCGAGCACCAGCATGGTGAGTGAGTGAGTGGGAAAGAGGGAGCATGGATATGTGCGCAGCCACACTGCTACTGCCACTGCTAATGCTGTGCATGCATGTGTGTGAAGGAGGAGAAAGGGAAGAGAGAAAACTGAAAACAGAGGGAAGGAACAAGACATGCTCCATCCATCCCTCTTCCTCACACCACACACCATCATCCTCTGTCATCAGCCAGCCACACCACACCACACCACACCACACTCACCCAGCATCCCCCACCCCACCTCATCCCATCCATCCAACCAGCCAGCACACATCTCCTCTCCGCTTTCCCTCTTCTTCACGCCCTCACCTCTGCTGCTGCTTCCAGCCTAAAATGCAACTTGTGCTGTCGCCACCTGTTCCCAGCAGCAGCAGCGGGCGATGCTGGTTGGTTGGTTGGTTGGCTGGTTGGTTGGTTGGTGGGGGAATGTGTTCAGCAGCAAGTGGTGGTGGTGGTGCATCCTCTGCTGCTGCTGCATCGGCGGTGGAGGGTGTGTTGGGTGCTGCTGCTGTTGTTGTTGTGATGGCTGCCAGGGAGGGCGAGAAAGAGAGGGGAATATAAGCAGCGGCTGCAAGGTGGAGAATGTGCAGGTGTGCAGGCAGTTGTGTGTGAGAGAACGAAGAGTGAGAGAGCGCACCAAGCAAGGCAAAACAGGCAGCCGCACGACACACATGTACACATTGACGTGGGTCAACAAGGGGAGACAGGAGCAACAGAGACAGCGACCACAAAACACGCACACTGATGCTGTGCGCATCATACACACATGCTGTGATGCACTCACGTTGCTCATCGCTTGCTTGTTTGTGGTGTGGTGTGTGTTGGTGCTGCTGCTTCCACAGCCGCACAAGCGTGGCTGGATGATCACTACATGGCAGCGCCCGTCTGTTCATCCCACCAGAGCAGTGGTGATTGGTGCAGGGGGGTGGGTGACAGCTGCTGGCTCAAGGGCCCTGTGTGCGGCGACAGCAGAAGGAAGGAAGGGGAAACGAGCAAGCGTGGAGGGTGGTGTTGAGGGTGGGAATGGAAGGATGTGAGCAAACACACAAGAACATGAGGGTGTGGTGATGATGGCGTGTGGGTGGTGGAGAAGAGAACATGCACCTCGAGACACACACACACACACACACACACACACACACACACCTGTCTGGGTGATGCACACACACACCTGTCTGGGTGATGCAGTGGTTTGATCACCATTCATCCGTCGGCATGTAGTCATTTGTTGGTTGGTTGGTGGGGGTCGCCCACTGGCTCACGCATCAGCCAGCACCTGCTGCTGCTGCTGCTGCTGATGATGATGATGATGGAAAACATTCATCCGCACGCACCACCACAAACAAGCAACAACAGCAGTGAGCAGCGTGTCACAGACAGAAAGAAGAAAGAAGAAGAAGGAGGATGAGAAGAAACACAACCCGTGCACACACACACATACATACACATTGGCTGTGATGTTGGTTGATGTCATTTCCCCCTCCTCTATCTCATGTGTGTGCTGCTCACTGGTTGAGAGGTTGCATGATCCATTCTCAGGGCCGCTGCATGTCGGTGGCTGATGGCAGTTGTTCTGTCACCACACAACGGTGAGCAAGTGTGTGTGTGTGAGTTGTGGTGTGCATTTGTGTGTGCCACACGCAGTGGTGTGTTGGTTGTGATCCAACCACCCATGGATGGATGGATGGATGGTGGTCCACCTGTGTGTGTGGCTGTGTGTGCACGATGACAGCGTGCGCTGTGTTGTTGTTGTTGATGATGATGGTGGTGGTTGTTGTTGCTGTGCGCAGTGTGCAAGGAGAAGAAGGAGAAGAGGAGGAGCACGGAGTGAGAGGAAGAAGTGGGTGCACTCAATCTCACCCTCACCTGTCGATGGATGGGTCATTCATGTGGTCGTTGGTTGGTTGGTTGGTTGGTTGGTTGTGGGTGGTTCATCACAGGAGAAGGAAATGGACAACGATGGAAGGATGGATGGATGGATGGAAGGAAGGGGAGAGAAAGGGAGAGAGACGGTGCGCACACCCTCCCTGCACATGTGCATGTGTGTGCGTGTGAATGCGTGTGTGTGAATGCGTCAGCGACGACGACGAAGGGAAGGAAGGAAGGAAGGAAGGAACGAGGCACGCACAACCACCAATGTGTGTGCGTGTGTGTGTGTGCACGAACCAATGACGCATCCTCACCTCACCTCACTTCACCTCAACTCATCTCACCTGCCTGTCAGCTGCAGCGACGACGACGACCATGATCACCATCACCATTCCCACCACCATCACCATCACACAGCTGCTGCGCAGAAGAAGAAGAATGAAGCAACGGCGAGTGGATTGGTTGGTTGGTTGGTTGGAAAGCAGAATCGGTTGTTTGCTCGTTTCTGCTTGCTGCTTCTGCTGGTTTTTGGTGTGTGTGCGATTTTCCTTGCTTGCTACTTGCTGGCTCTGCCTTGATAAATGGCTTGTCTTGCTCTGTTGTCGGCAACGTTCATACCAACGGGATCACGCCCGCTCTCGTCCGATCGCGGAAGCTAAGCCCGTTTGGGCCCGTTCAGTACTGCCGTGGGTGACCAGGCGGGAATCACGGGTGATGTTGCTCTCTTCCTTTTTTTTTTCTTCTGTGTGGTGGTGTGGCTGCTGCTGCGCTGGTTGCTGCTGTGCTGCTGTCTCCTCTTTCTCTTGTCTTAGCTTGGCTTGGTTCGGTTTACTTCTTGTTCTTGTTCTTTGCTTGCTGACTTGCTTGCTTCCACTTCTTGGGGTGAAGAGGTGGTGGCCTCTCTTGTTGCTTGTCTTCAGCGTTGCGTTGCTTCACACACACACACCCACTCACTCACACACACACACACACACACACACACACGCACGCACACACACACACACACTGGATGCCTGACATCGTGTCTTCTCGGCGCATTTATTTCGACACACACACACACACACACACACACACACACACACACACGCACACACACACACACACACACGCACACACACACACACACACACACACACACACACACACACGCGCGCGCGCGCGCGCGCGTCAGACAAGCTTCTGGTTCAGGGGATTCTGTTTGAGGCGCTTGTCAATCTTGAACTTGGCCACGAGGTCTTCACACCTCTCCACGAGCTGCTGGCACGCTTGATCGCGGCGCAGGGGGCGCATGGGGTGGCCAATCCAGGCAATGCCGTTCTTCTTTGTCAGCACAAACACGGGCGCCTGCCCTCCGAGGATGTCCAGCATCTCCATCGTCAGCTCATCCGAGGCCGCAAGGAAGTGGCAGGCAACTTCAGGCGGTGGGGATGCTCTGGGTTTGGCGTCGCGCGCAGCAGTAGCAGCACGGGCGATGGCGCGCCACGTTGCGTGTGCCTCAGCTTCTGTGCGCCCACACATGACGACGACGCCGTCCAGCTCGCGAACGCGATCGAGAACAGCCATGAGCCCATCGATGGCGGGCGCAGTTGCAGAGCTGCGGGTGGTCACAAAGAGGGTCAGGCTCTTGGGCACGAGAAGACCCCGGTCAAGCATGGCGGTCACGATGCGCCTGTGCTCTGGCAACCGGTGCCACATCTTACGCGTGATGCGCTGCATGAGAAGCGCACGCGCGTCCTCTAGCAAAGCATCGCGCTGCACCATGCCGGCATCTTCGTCGGCAATCGTGGAGCGTCGTTTCTTCGTGTCAGCCGCGTCATCATCACCAGCACCAGCATCATCAGCATCATCAGCGGCAGCTTCTGGTCCCTGCTGTGCAGCTGCACCCAACAGCACGCGCCGACACGAACACTGTGCTACGAACGGCAGAAACGGCTGCCCAGATACACGCAGCGTGTGTTGCACGACCAGTCCATCATCCTCAGCGTGTTCATGACCGGTGTCCCCGGTAGCGCCAGGAGCCAAAGTTCCTGTGGCCTGTTTACCCTTGTCGCCACGCGTTGCATCAGACAGCCGCACGCACAGCTCCACGCGATGGTTCACACCGTCCATGTCTGCGTCATCATCGCCACCGCCATCATCCTCCTTGCCCGAGCCTAGCACGCGCAGCCATTGCTGCACATTGTTCTGCAGCGTCACGTGTGCGTTTGTGTCGTTGCGCTCTGTCTGAGCGACCAGCACACCGTCAACGAGCACATCGTAGCCATTAAACCGCGTGTTCTTCCGCAGGGCGCCGTAGAGGTGCCAGTGCAGCCCCACCGGGAACGCATTGGTTAGCTCGTCCAGCTGCACGAGCACGGC